GAGAATGAGGACAAATTGGAACCCTGCTGGTGAGAATGTAGAATGGTACAGCTGCCTTGGAAAACAGTCTGGTACTTAATCTAAGTTACTATAAAACCTAACAATTCCAGTCACAGGTGAATGGACTGTGAATTATACCTCAATAAAAAGCCACTTTTAAAAATTCAAATATACAAAAGATTTTGAACTTGCACTTTTCTATGCCATTGTGTTTTTTTATTATTATTATACTTGCCTCTCTTTAAAAAAAATTTTAACTGTGAACAGAATGCTAATTTATTTACAAAGAGGAAGTAGTTTCTAGTCATCAGAACTCTGAGGAGAGGAGTCTTTGTAGTAGCTGGGGTACCATCAGGTAACTAGGAAGTTTGCAGAAATTAGGGAATCAGATCACATGGTCTTAAAGTGTGTTGAGAGGATATGTATGTTCAGGCCTTGATAAAGCCTAGTAACTCCCTTGTGCCCAGGTTATGTGTGCTGGTATTGTGGAATAAAGAATTTTTATGGTCTTTTCCCAGGTGCCTCGAGTTTTGAAAAACCCTTGGAATTCCAGACTGGAGTGTCTATGTTATGCTAGCAGAGTGACTCCTGGTGGGCCCCTTAGTAGCTTCCCTGGAGGCTGGTCCTTAGAAAGACCAACCCTATGATTAGAGGGCTGGGACTTTGAGCTAACCTGACTGAAGGGAGGGAAGAAGAGGGGGCTGGAGATTGGGTTTAATTACATGGCCAGTGATTTAATCACACTCACATAATAAAACCCCAGTAAAAACTCTAGACCCTGAAGCTTAGTGGAGCTTCCAGGTTTGGGAGCAGATTAATGTTTTGGGAGGGTGATTCCCAGAACATTCCTGGAAGATTGGGTGTCAGAGACTGCATTCCATCTCAGACCCCTCTCTGTTTGTGTGGGTGTCCTTTATAACTAATCTTAAGTAGAGCCCTTTCTGGGTTCTGAGTCATTGTAGCCAATTCTGAAATCTGAGGGAGCATTGCAGATCTCCTAGATTGGTAGCCAGTTGGTTAGAAATTCAGATGGCATCTGAAGTAAGGGCATTCTTGTGGAGGGCCATGCCCTAAGCTAGTGGAGTCTGTGCTACCCTGGGTGGTTAGTGCTGGAACTGGATTGTTGAACACTCGTCGGGGTTGAAACAAAGTGGCCGGTCAGGACCTATTTCTCCTTCCCTTGGGTGATACAGAATAAACCTTGGCCAGCTTTTTGCTGTTTAGTTTTCTTTTATAGAATCCACATTAATCTCATTTATGAAAACATTTTTTTTAGAGTAAAATGCAATTGATTAGGTTAAGATTTAAACCTTAAATTTAGCCTTAAAGCCTAGTTGCAGTATCATTCCAAAAATATTTCTAGTTTTGTTGTTGGCCTTTTTCCCCCGTGAAGTTTGCTTTTGTCAAATATCTGGACTTTTACTTGCCTTTCTATAATGTGAATAATTAGATAGGTACAACCGTCACCCCTTTTTTTCGTATGGGAGTAGATACTTGCCTAGGGTCACAGCAGAAAAGTGGCCAGGCCAGGATTTGAGCCTAAGTCTGACTCTAGCATAGCCTGTGCATATACCCACCCTGCTCCATAACCTCCTGCTGCATCTGTCCTGTCACCCTTCCCCTAAACAAAATTAAAATGAGAGAGAAGAAAGGGATTTAAAAGTTGGGGCTTCTCAAGGAACAGAAATGAGAGCAGAGGAAAGTCTGTTCCTGTGTTAGAGAAGGGTAGAAGTTTAGTCATTGACAGTTCTGTAATGTGCCCTTAGATCTAAGAGTGTAAGTACAGAAGTAGCATTTGTTGTGCTTCTATATATGCTGTTAGAACAATATGATAATATAAAAATACCAATTACAACACGAAGCTTTTTGGTATTTAATATTTATTTAAAAATTTTTTTAACATTTATTCGGTTTTGAGAGACAGACATAGACCGTGAGCAGGAGAGGAGAAGAGAGAGAGAGGGAGACACAGAACCTCTGTGCTGACAGCTCAGAGCCTGACACGGGGCTCGAACTCAAACTGTGAGATGATGACCTGAGCTGAAGTCAGAGGTTTAACTGACTGAGCCACCCAGGTGCCCTGATATTTATTTTGAATAAACCTCTTTGGTTATAATTCTCTTGACCTCAGACTATTCAAAATGCTGATGTTTCTTCAGAATTTAGTGCATGCCAATTTCTTTTGTTCCTTAATGACTTAAGGAAATTCTTGAAGGATTTTAAGCTGGGAAATATCAGTAGTATAATAAGCACTATTTAGGCTTCATTTGCTGTTTCCTACTTACATTAAGTAAAACTGAGGCAGACGTGGCACACTGAACAGATTATGTCAGCACCATCCATTACTGACTAGGGTGCCTCCAATTTGATCCCCATCAGTATGTTTGCTAAGCCTATCAGCAAACTGCCTCTAAGGAACTATATATAAGAGCGGTAATTGACAACTTGTGTTTTTCTGGTATTTTTCTTAGTAGGAGAAAAGAGGTTAAAAGTTGATAAAGGTAGGGGTACCTGGGTGGTTCAGTTGGTTAAGTGTCAGACTTGGTTTCGGCTAAGGTCATGATCTCACAGTTCGGGAGACCAAGCCCCACGTCAGGCTCTGTGCTGACAGTGTGGATCCTGCTTCGGATTCTCTTTTTCCCTGTCTCTCTGCCCCTCTGCCACTCATACTCTCTCTCAAAATAAATAAATAAACATTAAAAAAAAAGTTGATGAAGTATTGCTACCCTTGGGAGTGATCCTTCATATATGATATTCATAAGAGATTAATTTTAAATATTAGGTGTGGGTCTTGGCAAAAGGAACAGATTCAAGTAGAGAAAACTCATTTTAGTGCTGGAAACCACGTCTATATTCTTGTTTCTACACTCCCTACATTCAAAATTGACTTAATAGCCACTAGTATATGGCATCAGATTTGGGACATGGTTCTTAATTTGTGTATTTTATGAACATAACTCTTTATAGGAACTTTCAACACTCTTTTTCATTGTGTAGTGGTTCTTTCGAAAGCCTGTTTGGGTATAGCTTGTTAATGTCTGTTTTATGTTTATTTGCTTTGTAACTTTTTATAAATTTCATTTACATTATTTTTCCTGGAAATTGAAAATCAGATTTTGAAAATGGTATAATATTTTGGGATGACTTAAAAACACAGCTAAATAATTAAACTCTTACCACTTTTGTTTTAAACTTCTCCAGTTTCATACTTACTGCATCAGTCAACATACTACTATGGCCTCATTCCACCTGTTTTTGTAGTTTTATTGAGTGTGGAACAGTCTACACTTGTTACATTTTATATATTTTTTAAATATTTTAATATAGTATTTTATATATTATTTTATAATGTATAAATATATGTAAATATATATATTTATATAAATATTAATAACATAACCCTGGTCTGTTGAATGCAGGATTTTATCTGTTCCTATAAACATCGAGATCTGAAAGAATCCTTTCTCCTATATCTTATTAAATTAGCTTTTGGACTCTGCATGTGTTTCATTTCCCTGTATAGTAAATTGAGCACTACTTTGATATTGGTCTTCCTTTTCTTTTTCTGCAACAGGATTGCTGTATGTGGTAGGATAGTGATGCTATCTGAAGGTCCTCCTGCTGTCCTATCTTCCTTCTGTTCTCTCGCTCCCTATTTTGGCCTGCTGGTAATTGGGGCAAGGGAGGATGGGTGGATTAAGATGAAATTGCTTTAACTCTTTCCCCTTTACTTGAAGGGAGGGGGCCAGTCTCCTGCCCACATTTAAGAAATAAAAATTATCTAGTTTTCGGCACAATCTGTTTTGGGGTTGTGGAGTCTTTTAAAAATCAGAAAAACATTGTAGAGCATTTTTCCGGGAGGAGGAAAATGGATATATTAAGAAATATATTATTATAAGAATCTCAAACTCTGAAGGTAATCCTTGCCTGGGGGTGGTAGGAGTCCTTAAATTATAGGTCAGGAACCTCTGCTGTAGCCCCTTTGCTGGTGATAGAGTCAGGCAAACAAACAAGTAGGTTATTAAGACTAGGAAGTAAAGCTGATGTTAATTCAACTCCGGGGAATTAGTGTTTCTCACTATTGCTGTATCTGGGGATTTATTATCCTTTGATCAATTTTTAAACACTTAAATGTAAATGTGTGGCTTTAACAACATATACTAATATGTAATCTTCATGGTGAACTCTTCTGATGTTGGAACTTTGAATGTGGACATTTGAGAAAAGTAATTGATTTTAGATGTTCCTAAAATAAATCACTGGCTTAGGATAGATCTGTTTTAGTGTTTCCAGATTTTGAAGGAAAAAAAGACTAAGCCCCAAGTTGAAACTTGGCTATGCCAATTCTTGCTTTGTGCTTAGCAGTAGAATTGTGAAGTCCCATTGGTTGGGTCACTTGTCCTATCACTGCTTTTGCATGAGCCTTCCACTTGACTAGTGTTTCCTAAACATCATTTATTGAATACCATCTTCATGATTTGCCTTCTGTGCACATTTCCTGGCTGTTAAGTCCATTCACTTTATAAAACTTAAATTTATGCAAATAACTATTGTGAAATATGGGATTGAAGTGCTAATTCCTTTCTGTTTGCCACTTAAAGGAATATGTGCATATAGGGGTTTTATTCCACTGAAATCATCTTTTATCTTCCTATAGGACAGCAAGTCCATCTTGGGAGACATTCCCCATGTGCTAGAATTTTAAAGCTCTGACCTTGAACCAGAGTATGATCTGTAGAAGCTATCTGTACTTGAAAGTATCAGTGGAGATGAGGGGTCATGGGATGGGTGGGTCCTGCCTGCTGAAATACCCTTTGCTTGGGCAAATGTGTATTGTTCTGAATATGGAGATATTTGGCTGTGTGCATGGCAAAGCTTGGAATCCTAGCTTTACAACAGTTGGTTTCTTTAACGTGTCTGCCCTCCCATTACCCCCACACATATGCACTGTGTGTGTGTGTATCTAAATTTCCTAAGTTTTATTTTCTTTTGCAGGTTTGATCTTGCTCTTCTACCTAGTCTTTTATGGGTTCCTGGCTGCACTCTTCTCATTTACAATGTGGGCTATGCTTCAGACTCTGAATGATGAGGTTCCAAAATACCGTGACCAGATTCCTAGTCCAGGTAATTATATTGCAGTTATTGTGGCTTTTAACAAAATTTGGTTATATTTTTTCTTCACTGTAAATTTTTTACATAGGTAAAAAGTTAAGCCTTAGGGTTAGGTAATGTGAAAATTTTGATTTTTGTTGTTAAATATTTACATACTGATAAAAAGACCTTTTATATTTACATACTGATTTGAAAACCTATTCTATTTACGTAGTGATATAAAGACCTGAGCTGATAAATCTTGAGTCCTTTGCCAGGAATAAGCAGAAATGAATATTGACAATTATAGTGAAGCCAAATTTGATCAGTATGGTCAATGGATGGCTTTTGCGAATATTGTATAGCATTTTCACTTGGCCTTGAGTAATTTACTTACAAAGTAAACATTTTAGCTCTAGCTTGGGCTAGAGCATCAGTCTTACAAAGCTTCATAGTTTTAATGGCTTAATATGGAAGTGGTAAGAAAAATAATGATACATCAGAGAATAAAATGAGTATACTGTTACTGTGTTCAATTCTTCTCTGTTGTCTTAAGGAAAAAATATTCTCCAGGGTTGTCCACTACAGAAGAAAATCTCAACTGAAACACTAATTTGAATGCCAGCTTTACCTTCGTTATTGGACATGGCCGTTCAAGGTGCTGGCACTTTCTATAGAGGAATATAACAACGTGCAGAACTCCAGTATAAATAATTCCCAAAAACGTGAACAACCTTTAGAGATACTAGAGAAGGGCAGGCTTCTCATGGAGGACTGGGATTTGGACAGCAGGCAGGGTGGGCAGGCAGGCCAGTGAAGGGACGAGTGTAGTAGAATGTTTCCTTTTGGAGCAGTGGTTCTCATCCAGCAGTGATTTGCTCCCCAAGGGCCTTGTGGTTGTATCTGGAGACAGTTTGTATTGTTACACCTCGAGAGATGCTGCTAATGAGCAGAGGTCAGGGATGTTGCTTAACATCCTACAAGGCACAGGACAGCCCCCTGCAACAAAGAGTTGTCCAGCCCAAAAGGTCAGTAGTGCTAAGGTTGACAAACTCTGAACTAGATCTTGGCTCATTGTATGGATTTATGAGCCATATCAACAGCCAGACTACACCACTTTCCCCAGCCATCTTTTCTTGAACATTTTGTTCTAATGACTTTTCCTTGGTTTGCTGTTAACATTTGTGTAAACATCAGGAATCACTCTTTTCTCTTTTTTAGTTTATTTGACCAAGTATCAGAGACTAACTCCATACTCATTTTCCCTCACCTCTCATTGTAGCATTTTCTTCTACCTAGACTAATCCTAAGATAACAATTTTTCTTGCTAAGTTGTGTGACTTTATTACCAGTGAACATGATCTGATCTATTTCAGAAATAAACTGTTTACAATTGCATGAATAATATAAGCAATAAGATGTGTTCCATATATTCAAGTTTCAAACCAAGTTCCTTAAAATTATTTATAAGTATATTATAGTACTTAAAGTCTTATCATTACCTTAAATAAATATATATGTACACACATACATATGTATATATAACACTGGATGAATATACATTAGTTTGTTAAAATATTCTCTTTACAAAGGGATTAAGGATAATATTTTTTCTTCCTACTTGTACGTTCTGCATTATATGCAGTATTTAATACACTGGTTTTTTTGCATTGACCATATTTTATTTTTATTTAAAAATAATTTTTTTTAACGTTTATTTATTATTGAGAGACAGACAGAGACAGAGCGTGAGCATGGGAGGGGCAGAGAGAGGAGGAGACACAGAATCTGAAGCAGGCTCCAGGCTCTGAGCTGTCAACACAGAGCCCAACGTGGGGCTCGAACTCAAAAACCGCAAGATCACGACCCGAGCCGAAGTCGGATGCCCAACTGACTGAGCCACCCAGGAGCTCCTTAATTTTATTTTTAAATAACATTATTTCCATAATATTGTTTCTACCCGGTAAAATAAATGCTGGTTTGAAATTGGTACATAAAATATACATACATATAACATAAACCCTGCCCATCACACCCCAACAAACATGTACATTGTATGCACACATTCTCATATTCCAGTGGTTTAAATTGTAAGGTGATAGAGGAGTTATTATAGTTTTTGCATTCCATTGATGATCTTCATTTTGAGTAAGATAAGACTTTATTTGGAGGACTTCAGCATACCGTGTATAAAATCCACCTGTACTGTACATGCCTGCTTTGGTTTTTTACTTAAGAGTTTCAAACACGTTGTTAAATAGCAAGTTACTAGGGCTCCAAGAGCGTTATTAGGCAAGGTCTAAGAAGTAATGGGTATCAGAAGTTCAGTTTTAGGGGCACCTAGCTGGCTCAGTTGGTAGAATATGTGAGTCTTCATTTTGGGGTTGTAAGGTCAAGCCCCACTTTAGGTGTAGAAATTACTTAAAATAAAATCTTGGGGCACCTGGGTGGCTCAGTCAGTTGAGCATCCGACTTCGGTTCAGGTCATGATCTCACAGTTCATGAGTTCGAGCCCCACATCAGGCTTTGTGCTGACAGCTCACAGCCTGGAGCCTGCTTTGGATTCTGTCTCCCTCTCTCTCTGCCCCTTCCTGGCTCATGCTCTGTGTCTCTCTCTGTCCTTCAAAAATAAACATTAAAAAAAAATTTGCTGGAGAGAGTGTTTAAAAAAATAATAAAATAAAAATCTTTTTTATTTTTTTAAATTTTTTTTTTCAACGTTTATTTATTTTTGGGACAGAGAGAGACAGAGCATGAACGGGCGAGGGGCAGAGAGAGAGGGAGACACAGAATTGGAAACAGGCTCCAGGCTCTGAGCCATCAGCCCAGAGCCCGATGCGGGGCTCAAACTCACGGACCGCAAGATCGTGACCTGGCTGAAGTCGGACGCTTAACCGACTGCGCCACCCAGGCGCCCCTAAAAATCTTTTTTAAAAATTCAGTTTTAGACTTTCATGTCTTAAAGTTTTTGCAAATTGAATCATTGAAAAATCCCTTAGGAGCACCTGGGTGGCTTAGCCATTAAGCGTTTGACTCTTGATTTTCGACTTAGGTTATGATCTCATGGTTCATGAGATCAAGCCCAAACATTGGGCTCCCTGCTGAACAGCACAGGGCCTGCTTGGGATTTTCTCTCTCCCCTCTCTCAAAATAAATACAATCAGTCATGTAGGGGTGCCTGGTTGGCTCAGTCAGTGGAGCATCCAGGCTCTTGATTTTGGCTCAGGTCATGATCCCAGGGTGGTGGGATCGAGCTCTGTTGGGCTCTGCACCAAGTGTGGCACCTACTTAAGATTCCCTCTTTCTCTCTTTTCCTCTGCCCCTCTTCCCTGCTCATGTGTGTGCTCTCTCTCACTATCAAAAAAAAACCCATTAGTCATGTAAAGGAATGTAATCTTTTGTATAAAACACAGATATCTTCATGTGTTTCTTTAAAATTTCTTTAGTTTAGGGACATCTGGGTGGCTTCAGTCGGTTAAGCATCCAACTCTTGATTTTGGCTCAGGTCATGATCTCACGGTTTGTGAGTTCGAGCTCCATGTGGGGCTCTGCCCTGACTGTGGAGCCTGCTTGGGATTCTCTCTCTCTCCCTTTCTACCCCTTTCTCACTTGTGCTGTCTCTCAAATAAACTTTAAAATATATGTGCCTACATATAAAATAAATACTTAAAAAATTAAAGTAAAATTTCTTTAGCAATCTGAATATTTTATGTTGGGTTTTTCTTAAAATTAGGGGTTTTTAATACAGTTATTTGCAAGCTGCCTTGATTCTCTTACTTTTTTACTTGCACGATATTATATCCTATTCCTGCTATAAAACCTTAAAAATAAAAGCAAACAATTTCAGACATATACAGATGGTCATTTAATATACTGGACTGTAAGATGTATTATTCATTAAATACTTTTATAAGAAGTCAAGGGGCGCCTGGGTGGCGCAGTCGGTTAAGCGTCCGACTTCAGCCAGGTCACGATCTCGCGGTCCGTGAGTTCGAGCCCCACGTCGGGCTCTGGGCTGATGGCTCAGAGCCTGGAGCCTGTTTCCGATTCTGTGTCTCCCTCTCTCTCTGCCCCTCCCCCGTTCATGCTCTGTCTCTCTCTGTCCCAAAAAAAATAAATAAATAAAAAAAAAGTTAAAAAAAAAAAGAAGTCATAAAGTTTTTGCCTAGAGATGTTGCAGTGGATGGAAAATCAGGCATAGGGGATTATCTAAATCCAAGTGATCTCTGGTTTGTTTATGTAAGTGAATAGGGAGTTTAATTGGGAGGTCTTTTGTGTTGAATATAGAAGATTTGCTCTGCTATTTAGGAACATTGTTTCATCATATTTAGGTAGCATTGCATCTAGTTTAACTCAAGATCAATGCAAACCAATACAGGCAAGGATTTAAAAGAAACTGGATCTGATCTAAAAGTTAACACTATTTAAAAAAACAAAAAATAACAAAAAAAGAACTAGAGATCTGTGAGCAGCAGTTTTAATGGAAATTAAAACAACCCTTGTCATTTGTATATTTTCAGATTCAGTGCAAGGCATAGCATCTCTAGTAACTTTGGTATGGGAAATGTTTAGAGGCTAGTGAAAATGTTAGGATTGTTCTTAAGCCTGGGTGCAAGGCTGAATTAATAATCTAGATCGGATGCTTTTAAAACAAAGAAAGCGTACATTAAAGTTGGAAGCCTGATTATGTTTCCTTACAGATAAATACGCTTACATTTTCTTTTCATAAACTCATGCAACATGTTCTGTATACATGGGTGTTGACTTGATATGAAATTGTTGGTTATATGCCAAATTCAATATGTGAAAACCACATTTGAATTATAGAGCAGTGTTTATTATTGAAGGAAGAATATTCAACCATAGAGTTAAAATTTTATAGGCCTCTTCCACTGAAAAAGTTTTATGTATGTTTCCATACAGTTGTAATTTGAATGACTAAAGTGCTGAGACTGATTTGCTAAAACTTTTCTGATTAATAGCAAATTGACAAAACCTAAAAATATTTGATAGAAAAATGAGTGTAGGAAGTAAAAAGTAAAATTTGCATCTTTTAAAATCAGGAACAGAGCAATTATAATTTAACTGTAGATTATCAGATTTCAGGGAGGTTTTTAATTGGTAATGCCTGAGATGATTTTGCAGATTTCCAATTCTGTTCATTTTAGATGTCTGTACCTTCATAATCAACTGAGAAGTTCTTGATAATTTCAGCATACCTATGAACACAGTTGTCCATGTAATTTACTGAGATCTGCCCCTTAGGTATAAGAATAAGCAGAAAGAAGGGAATTTGCTGCAGTTAATCTTCCCCCTTTTATCTCTGTATAGGACTTATGGTTTTTCCAAAACCAGTAACTGCATTGGAATATTCATTCAGTGCGTCTGATCCAGAGTCCTATCAAAGGTACACTGAAGACCTTAGGAACTTTCTAAAACGTAAGTATTTTTCTTAGAGTGAGGTAAAAGATTTTAGGTACTGAGAAACTGGTACCAAATAATGATTACTTTTAGAAACCTCTTTCTTAGAGTCTGTTTTACCTTTTGTTTTGTTTTGTTTTTCTCTTAAACTCAGTCAACTGAGAGGACTGGCAAGTACATTTTATAATTAGTCATGAGAATATTCTAACTTATGAAAAGACATAGGGGTCTAAGCTCAATGGGCAGTTGAATTTGACTTTTCTGTATTAAGTATATGAATAAATCTATTGAGACATGACATTTATATCTGCATTAAAAAGCATTTGACTAATAAAGCAAACTGAATTATACAAAATAATGCCTCTAAGCATTTGGATCTTTTGAATCCAATGTAGTACTTACTTGTGGAGGGAACAAGGAATGATGTTTGTTATTTAAAAACAAAACCAGGGGTGCCTGGGTCGCTCAATTGGTTAAGCATCCAATTCTTGATTTTGGCTAAGGTCATGATCTCCCGGTTTGTGGGTTCAAGCCCTGTGCTAACTGCACTGAGCCTGCTTAGGATTCTCTGTGTCTGTCTCTCTCTCACACACACCAAAATAAATAAGTAAACGTAAAAATAGAACAAAACCAGGGGTGCCTGGGTGGCTTAGTCGGTTGAGCATCTGAATCGTTATTTTGTCTCAGGTCATGATCCCAGGGTTGTGGGATTGAGCCCCACAGCAGTGTGGAGCCTACTAAGATTCTCTCTCTCTCTTCTTTTGCCTCTCTCCCCCACTCATGTTCTAATTTAAAATAAATAAATAAATAGGGGTGCCTGGGTGGCTCAGTCACTTGAGCATCCAACTTCAGCTCAGGTCATGATGTCACAGCTGGTGGGTTCCAGCCCCACGTCGGGCTCTGTGCTGACAGCTCAGAGCCCGGAGCCTGCTTCAGATTCTTTGCTTCCCTCTCTCTCTCTGTCCCTAACCCACTCACATTCTATCTCTGTCTCTCTCAAAAATAAACATTTTTTTAAAAAATGAAAATAAATAACCCATCCAAATACATATCTGCTGTGGGTTTTGGAGTTGCCGGTCTGTAATGCTTTCTAATAGTTGTCCTAGCCCAGTTTTCCTCCTGTTTGGTTTAGCCTACCTCTTTGGTGTTACCATTCACATGAATAATCATCACATGCCCTGGCCTGTTGGTTCATGATCACCTCACCTCTTCCAGATCTACATTCATTCCTTAGAACACGTAGGACCCCATTGCCAAAATCACTGAGGCTTTCCTGACACAACCTTGTAGTTTAATTGTTTAACTTTCCCTCACTATTCTACCTCATTGGGACTTCCACTTCACTGACCCTTTTATTTTGTCCCATCCTCTTCTCCCTAACTTCCCTTTTTACTAAGCTTATTAATTCCATGGTTTTTCATTTCACTTTCAGTTTTGCCAGTACTCTAAAATCCTTTGCCTGTCAGTCTGTCATAAAATGCACATGGATGAAGCCACATAGTTCTCCTAGATGAAACCATATAATTCCTGAATGAAGGCCCTTCCTTTGAGCCTGTCCCGAGCAGGCTGCTGAAGGCTTTCCATGGGACTATTTAGCACTGCGAATACTTGACCACCTCCCTCAAATATTTCCTGGCAATCCTGCTGAATTTCTCTGGATAATTCTTAGAGGATTATTTCCAATTTCTATTCAAACCTCTAACCCTTTTCCTCTATATAGAACTCACTTCATATAACTTGCTTCCCTGCTTCAAAAAGTAATGGAAGGACTCAGATGGGAACTCCTGCAGTTTCCTCATTACTAGAAAAGCCAACCTACAGTTACAGCCATTTTGTGTGTGATATTTCTCTTGCTCTGAGGCCCTTCCTTGCATAGGCCACTTGTACCGGTCCTGCTTTGGATCTCTTCCTCTTCCATGGTCTTGGAAGCATTGTTTACTCTCCTTTTCCTGTATATTTAGCCTCTCTTTATTGGATCCTTCTTGTCAGCATGCAGAATTCCTCAACTTCCTATCTTAAATCAAAAACCTCAATCCTACACCATCCACTTGACTTTCTAAATCTTTCCTTGATAGTTCTTTAAGGATGTTTTAGTGAGCGTATAATCCATGGCTTAAAAATCAAATAGTAAAGAAAGTTCTGTAATGAAAACAGTTTCCTGCCCTACTCTTTTCTAGCTGCAGTCCTTTTAATTTCCTCGACAAATATTTTTTCAAGGCTGTCTTTATGTCACGCACTCTTTGAAGTTTAATCAGTGAACACAGGAAAAAAATGTGTGTTCATGGAGCTTGTAGTCCAGTGGTGTACAGGAAGGTGATGAGTGCTGGGGAGAAACATGAAGCAGAGAACGGAGATGGGAAGGGTTTTAGTTTTGAACAGGGAGGTCCAGGAGGCCTCATGGAAGGGGGCCCCTAAGGAGGATATCAAGATGAGGGAACTGACCTGAAGCTTATTTATAATGCCCAGCACATTCAGGGTTTATCAGGAAAGCTGGAGGAGCTGGATGGAGTGAGCCAGGGCAAGAGTTTTAGGAAGTTAGGGAAGTAAAGGATGGGTTGTGTGGGTCCTTAGAGGCCATCACTAAGTTCTTTGGTTTTTACACTGACCAAGTGGGAGGTTTTTAAGCAGGGAATAACATCATCTCACTCCCAACTTTTAAAGGATCACTCAGGCTGCTTTTTTGAGACTGTGGGTTGAAGGGTACAGGGAAGCTAGTCAGGAGGCCATTACACTAACCAGATGAGTAGAATGGTGGCTTGGCAAGAAAGGAAGCAATGGAGGCTGTAAATGTTTTTTTTAACCTTTATTTATTTTTAAGACACAGAGAGCAGGAGAGGGGCAGAGAGAGAGACAGACAGACAGAATTGGAAGTAGGCTTCAGGCTCTGAGCTGTCACCACAGAGCCCAACTCAGGGCTCGAACTCACCAATTGTGAGATCGTGACCTGAGCTGAAGTCGGACTCTCAACCGACTGAGCCACCCAGGCCCTCCCCCCCTTTTTTTTTTTAAACCTTTATAGGTTGTGAGTAATTTGATTCTGGATACATGTTCAACAGGAAAGAACTTCATGCTCTTGAAATTTCTCTTACGGTATTTTTTCTGTATTTCTGTTATACTTTCCTTCTAGCTGTTGATTTATCACTTTTATATATTGTCTTTACTTCCTGCCATGACAGATGAGCATTTACTTCACATGCCTCAGACACTCCACCCTACAACCCAGTTTAGTAATTATTATTTTTAGTTTTGCTATTGGTTGCCTTTCTATACTTAATCTTTATGTCTTATTCCATCATCTATAGACACTCTTCTTGCTCCCTTATTTGCACACTGTTATTTGAGGTACCCTCTTAAGTCCTTTTTTTTTTTTTTTTTTTTTTTTCCCTGGAAAACTCTTTAGAGCTTTTCCCTTCCTGCCATAGTCTGTACTAGTAACTGTTTAGAACTTTACTATACAGCTGTCATTTTGGGACTCTTTTTTTTTTTTAATCACTTTAGCTGGATCCACTGTTTCTTGGCTTCTGCCTTTTTTCTTAATTTACTGCCTAGTTTTGGTGGAGTATATTTATTCTCAACTTCATAAGAAAAGATACATGAAATGTAAATTTTGAGTCCTTTCATTTCTGAAAATGACCTCAGTCTGCATTTATAGGTGGTAGTTTAGCTGCATCTAGAATTTTAGTTACTTTGTATTGCCTTTTTCTCCTCCCCAAGGCTGGATTTTTACTTTGTTTTTATATGTATTTCCTTGGGGTTCTAAAATTTACTTTAGTTTCAGTCTTTAAAATACCACTTTACTGGGGGGCACCTGGGGTGGCTCAGTGTTAAACATCTGACTCTGGATTTCACTGTCTCACAGTTCATGGGTTTGAACCCTACATGTGGCTGTGTGCTGACAGTGTGGAGCCTGCTTGGGATTCTCTGTCTCCCTCTCTCTAAACTTAAAAAATAAAATAGAACTTTACTGGGAACTTGATGGAGATCTTTCAGGATGAAGGCTTAGGTTAATAAATTATTATCTTTCAAAAATAATTTCACAGAAATTACCTTCTATTAATTACTTTGATCATTTCCACAACTCAGTTTTCTGGTTCTTTCTAGAACTGTTCTCTTAGTTGGCTCTTACATCTCTTGTTTTTCTCTCATTTTCTACTTTTTCAGTTGTCATTGCTGAGTTTTAGGAAAGCCTTTCTCCTGTTAAAGTGTACCATCTCTGGTTAAAAGATACATTGTCTTCTTTTTTCTAATAGATACTGCTTACAATTTGAAGTTTCATTCTGTTCAAATTACCTCTTTACTTTTAGGTCTTTATAGACACACCCACTCATTGACCTTTTTCTTATTTTAGACTTTGCTCGGGTGTATAGGGCTCTTTGGTTACTCTGTCTGGGGTCAGTGACCTGTCTGTGTCCCCATTATACCTTGGACTTGGGGGTAGGGGGCTCTTCATAATGTGACCATCATACAACCCCCTGCATTGTGGTTTTCTATGGAAGTAGAACATGGCACAATTAATACAAAAGTGGTCACTGAACGAATGGATATATTACCAAAAAGTGTATGCAGTAAAAGCCCGTGGGGAAAATTGGTGAAAGCCTTGAATATCTCTTGCAAAATGATCTTTATGATTGTGCCACCAGAGTCAAAAAGTGATGAATGTCATATGATAGGTACCTCTTGTGTTATAAAAGTTTACCCCACCTCCCAAATATTTGAATCATTCTTTTAAATGAGTACATAATTCCAATTATCATCTAATTTTTTATATATATAAGATGAAACTAAAGATTTTTGACAATTTTTCCCCCAAAGTAAAGATCTGCACTTTCTTGTAAATACATTTACTTTGCAATTTTTGTTCCTGTTTTGGTTGAATTCATTTTAAGTGACCTTTTTCTGGTACCAGTTGTACCCACACACCAACAGTTCTTATTGAGGCACTGTGGTAGATCTTAACTATTTATTAGTATCTTTCAATAAACACACTCATTGAGGGCAGGGACCACGTCAGGTTTGCTCACTGTTGTGCCAATTTTGCCTAATACTGTGCCAGTGTGGAGCAAACAGCAGAAAAACCATCGTGTGTCTCTCCCTCTCCTTTCTTCCCCATCTCCAAATTGTAACCATTTTACCCCTTTATCACTGAGTTTATCTAAGATGTTACCTCTAACTTAATATTAACTCACAGGTACCTTTGATGCTCAGCTTTGTTGTAGTCCCTGCTGAAGAGCATTCCATAGCACTCTGTGTCTGCAGGCCCTTCCTTCAGTTAAAATTGTGTGTTTTCCCTGTTACATTGTAAATTCCATAGGGGGAGAAGTGGCAATGCCTTTTTATGTTCTCACCTTTCTTTTTAATTTGGTGTATAGTTTACACATAATGTTACATTAGTTTCAGGTGTACAGCATAGTGATTGGACAAGTTTATAGGTTGTCATCTTTTTGCGCCATGAGCTTTCAGATAATGCAATAGTCATGGCTGGCGCCACCTGATGGTAACAGAAGACATTGATCTGTAATCCAGTTTGTTATTGTTGAATGCAGTAAACATCTGAAGTGTTACAGCTTAGTAAATCTGTTAAAAGTTGGACAAACTTAACATTCTTTACCTGGAATAATAATATGGTAATTAGCATGTTCTTTTTGTTTTTGAAGAGTGTTGTCCAAAGGATGATGTGTTCCTAGTTGTATTTAAGATCTATTTCTAGCTGATCTATATACGCATATGTTTTCTTTTTAGCATATGATTTAGAAGAACAGAAGAATCTCACAGCTTGTCCTGACCGAGTGCTTTTTGTACAGAAGGGTCCAATTTATCATGCATGTCAGTTTCCTGTTGCCTTACTTGAAGCGTGCAGTGGTGTGGATGATCCAGAGTTTGGCTACTCCAGAGGAAATCCTTGTATTCTTGTGAAAATGAACAGAGTATGTACCTATATTGCTGCTGCTGCTTTTTTTCTAATATCCTCTATTGAGTAGCTTGGAACTGTTTTTTTCTCATTTAGAGGTAACTTGCATAAAAGGTTAGCAGTGATATTAATTGACCTTTAGAAAGTGAATACAGCAAAAACCAAGACTGGTTTATTAAATCAATCATGGATTAGGGAAGTAAAACAACTTACGCTTTTCCCTTTTTAGTTACATGCATTTAGGCATGGGTTAATGCGTCAAGGGGCAGGTATTCTGGTTGTCATACATAAAGCATGGTTTTATTAACGTGCAGTGCTCATCTTTGAATCATCTTTGAGTTCGGTTATAAATTTAAAATTCCATTGAGAATCTATTAGGCTTTAGTTTAAACTTTGAATATTTAGTAGCAAAGCATAGTTTTATAGTGTATGTACATATAATTAAAAAGTAGAGATACAAATAAAATTGCATTATAATGAGCTCAGTGGGGTGTTACAGTTGTAACCAAAGTAGTAGCATTTTGCTTTGGTGTCCAGAAGATGTTCCTGAATTATATAGCCATTAGAAAATTTTGAAGCTCATTAGCTTCTCTGTGTGTAAGTATGACCTGGGAGTCATTGTGCAAAAGAAGATGCTTTTCTTATGTAATAAGTGATCTCTAACCCCTGTACCTTTCTGCTCTATAAATATTGTATTGCAGAGCTGTGTTCTGACACAGTTACCCTATTGAGGCCTGCAAGGTCTCCCTTGAAGAATGAGGTTATTCCTGATCATTTACTCCAAGAAAAGGCAGTTTCTTAAACAGGTGGAGACCTCTCAAGATCATGAGTTTATCACTAAAGTTACCCTTGATAAGCCAATTGCTACCATCTCTTGGCACTGCTAAATAAAGTGTTTCCTATAGGAAGAGCCAGCTAAACCCTGATGTACCCAGACTGACACCCCTCCGGTCTCTCCTCCTTTCCCCACATGGACAACGACAAGTTCCTAATTATCCCATCGTACTCTAGAGATCGTTCTGAAACATTGCCTGACACATAGTAGGTACTCAAGAATAATTATAGTCGGATGTTTCAGCAAGACTTCATTAAATTAAAGTTAACCAAATAAGCCAAGAGTAATGGGAAACTTGACAGTCTAGCTTGTAAGATGAAGTAAATGTATTTACCTTAACAGAAATGCCTTTTAGAATCCCAGCCTTCCAGAAGTGAATATCTTCATAAAGTCTAGATTCCTGGAAAATCTATTCCGAGTATAAAGCCAAGAGAAGTTCCAGTTCCTTCTCCTACAGGACCAACCTTCCAAGCTTGTTTTTCTCTTTCAGTATGTCCTCTTTGAATGCAGAGGGTCTGAGATTATACTTGGCTGATGGGACATGGCTTTACAGGGCATGACAAGATGACAACATCAAGCTCAAGTATGGATCATTCATGAGCTATGCATGCTGAGTGTAGCAGGGGATTTAATCCCAGTAGAGTTTGTTCCAAAGTCCTCACATAGGCAACGATAGTTAAAGATGTTGATATTATTTAGGTTCCATAATACTTACCTCTTGGGAGGAATATTTACATTTACAGGCATTCACATGTAAAATGAATATAACTTCAAAACATAAAAAGATCCTCCCACAAAATAAATATCTATTGCCATTCAGAGTTAGTTATATCAGCTACATACATGAAAGTAGCTTTATTACGTGGAACTGAATGGTACTGTGTCTTAAAATGGGATTCACCCCAGTGTATGCATTTTTGTGGAATAGATCGATGGGAAATACGGTAAGGCTCCATGCAAGCTTTATGGAAACAAATGTTGAGGGTTTGACCTAATACAGTTTCGTGAAAAACAGTTTTATTGTGCTTCTGCAATTCTTACATTTGCATTAAAAGTTTCTGTTTGCTTCTTGGTTTAAGGGTAGCAAAGTGCAATACTGTGTTTTATTCAGGAACTGATTTATTTTCTGCACTGCCCCAATACAATAAGACAGCAAATTGGTAAGATTATTATATTAAAAAGTCCATTGTAATCCTCTACACAAGAGTAAAAGGCAGATGTAATAGGGTTTTAATACCTAGAGTTGATATGCATCTCAACCCTTCCATCTCTGGGTCCCTAGCAACAACGCAGGAGGTTCTTTCATATACATTTGTGATGTTTCAATTAGTTTTTCTTTTCCTTAGATAATTGGATTAAAGCCTCAAGGAGAACCAAGGATAGAATGTATTTCAAAGGTTAGTATTCAAAAAGCTTTAGTATATCTGAATATTTTAAAAGTCTGTGAGTCTTAGTCATTGTTTTTTCTTCCTGTCCCTTTTTGAAAGTCCTCTGTAGTGCCAATCTTAGAAGAATAAAATTCCACCGAACTTTGGGTGTAGAGCCCTTCTCTACTTGCAAATGATAATCCTAAAGACGTGTTTTCCATGAGCATTGATTTCACAGACACTGCCTTTGCATATACCATCTTTCATTGATTCTGAGATCACTTTTTTCTAGCTTAATAACACTGAAATCGGGGATGGCCTTATAGTTAATTGCATCTTAATACTGTATCATAAGAGTTTTTTCTATCTTAATAGTACATAAATCGGTGTACATCAATGGCATCTGAGATTTCAGGAAACAGGATACATTTTCCTTAAGGTGGAGGCAGTATTTTTCTCTCCTACCCCTATTTTATTTTCTTCCAGAGTGCTGTGAAGTTTTCATCTCATAACTTCTTTTGTTTTCTCTCCATGCTGCAAGTGCAACTAAGACAAATATGTAAATTGATGGGTAAGAGTTCTAAGGAGAAATGTAAAGTTCTACATTTAATTTTATTGTTGTGCAAAATATTAGCATTCCAGCTCTAAATCTATGTCAAAGGTATTTTACTTGAAATGTTACTTTGAAATCACTTCTCAAGTTGTTTGTGAAGAAAATTATATTCCTTTTCGCCTTGAATGGATTTCTTATGTGGGCAGAAATCTCTTGCTCCGTGGTTCTCAAATTCATTCATGCATCAGAATCACTTGGAGGACGTTTTGGGTCCCATTCCCAAAGTTTCTGACTCCCTAGTGTTGGGGTGAGGCCCAAACTTGGCATTTCTAACTCAAGTTTCCAGGTGATGGTGATGCCGATGGTCTGGGGCTCATGCTTTGAGAATTTCTGCTTTAGAGTATCCTTACTTCTTTTGAGTATTCACTATTTAGACTAGAATAAAAAGCCAGAAAGTTTGTGGCTTCTCATCTGGGTTGAAGTATAAGTGTGTGAATCCTCGGCAGTTCCCTTTACCTCCTTATACTAACATAGCTCAGTCAGTATGCTGCTTACAACCAGATGCTACATCTAAGCTGAGCTTTTCTTGATAAATCCTGCTGAAAATGAAGTAAGCATATGCTAGTATCTCTTAAGATGAAAAGGAAGCATTATGGCTATGAGATACATTTAGAAAAAGCAACTATTCTGTTCTTGCTTGCAAGCTTTCCAAGTAGGAAGTTTCTGAGGCTCAGGTGCCAGGCTCTGGCCAGGTTAGATGTGCTACTTTCGTGACCACATAGGACTGTGTATCTGGACGCAGGAGCTTTTGCCTTTGTGTGTGAGTGGACCACACTGATAAGCTTGGAGCAGGGGCTCTATGGGGCCAACGCTACTAAGAAAGGAAAGCACATTTTGGCCAGAAGGCCAAAAGCTTTAGTAAACTTCTTTCCTAAGATTTCAATTTTGTGAACCTTTGGGCAGTGTAAACAACTCCATGTAACTGTTCCCTTAGGGTTTAAACTGGACTTCTATCTATTGGATATCCTTTGCTTCTAGAATAGTTGGTGGAAATGTTAATGAAAAATCCTGGTCTAATGACTCAGATTTCAGTTTGTTGTCCCTTTTGCTTTCAAGAGTTATGTGTAAAGTACATAAACTAGATGGGGATTTTGTTAATTGAGTTGTAGAATATTTTTGTTTTTAGAAAGCTTGTAAAATTTTGCCTAGTACTCCTAGGTTAGTCACAAAGGAGTAATAGGTGGGGTGCGTACATTTTAGAGGTGGTTCTGTAGGGCAGATGGCCGCATTTATTGCACATCATCATAGTTGCTGTTTTCCATTATATTTGTCTTGTATCTTGTACTCTTAAATTTGATCTGCTTTAATTGCATTTATGTAAGAGTTCTGAAAATACTGAAATATTGAGGACAACATGCTCTTGAGCATTTAAAAGATGGTTCCTACAAAAGATGGAATATTCCTTTTGTCATTTTTTCAATTTTTTCTATAAAAATAAATCCTATTAATATAGAAAAATGCAGAAGAAAAAGGTAAATGCCTACCCATTTCCAATTTGTGTTCTTCAAGTCTTTTAAGGGTGGCGACTGTATAAAAAAATGTGATTTTAAAACTTTGTTTTCAGTGGAACTTAGTGACTGTCAGTTGCTCCTAGTTTCTAATATGATGTCATTCATATACTTAGAAAACTGTGACATGTATGCTTCACCCTAAGTATCTCAGTATTCAGATATGCATAATTTCTAAATGTTTATTTTAACAGAAGGTATAAAAAGTACAAGTTTAAATAAAAGCCTGCCAATGTTATGTTTTTGGTACAAACCAAGAGAACAATGAAGAGTCACCCTGGGTGATCTTGAGCATGTCCTCTTAACTGAGCCTCGGTTCCCCTCTTTGTAACTGATCCTGCCCACTTAAGGGTGTTGGACCTAAATGAGGTCAGTGTAAGTTAAGTGTGGTGTCTGGCTGGAATTTCCAGCTCAGTAAACTATAACCCAAAGAAAACCTCCTTTATGTGTTGGGGAACATCTCTGTTTCTGTGAAGTAGGCTCATGTATTAAGAGAAAATAGGTTAAACAATTAGTACAGAAGGGCACTCATCACAGTGATTATTTTTTAATTATAGAGTAAAAATGTGGTGACTAAACATGGTTTTTACTGTTTCTCTTAGCCTTGTCAGCTTCTGTGGGGTAGCATCACTCTGTGCTTTGTGCCGTCTTGCTTTGTCACTTGTTCCTCACACGTGCTACTCGTGATAGAGAAGCAGAGTAGGACTTCTCCTTAGAGGAGATTCTTAGTTTTGCTATAGTGTTTCCTGTGTGCTTTACAAAATAGAAATTAGGATGCAAGCATTTTCTAATATTTTAATTAGCGCTTAGTAAACTTCCACTGATTTTAGTCCATGTCATCTACTCATTGTGTGTTAAAGTTACTCATTAAAATTAGTCCTATTCAGAATGTGTTACTTGAGAATTCTCTATCAAGAAGAGATGATAATAGAGATATCATCATGAGTTGGATTGTGAAGGATTAACTTGTATATTGTATGTCATGTTTATTAGTTTAAGTACATGGAATATAATTCCAGTAATTTCAGTACTTTGATTTACACGTGCTCATAAATTCAAAGGTATTTAAATTGGTTGAGAAGACTTTTGTCACTTGCATCATAGTTTACCCTTCTGGTTACCATTACTAAGCACGGAAAACTTTCGGACCTGCTGCCTCCTAGGCCAGCCACACATTCTACAGTGTGGAAGCACAGTATTTTAAGTCATTTCAGGAATACACTGGTCCATACAGACTGGTGCCTTCCTGCTGTCAGTGGCTGGAGAAGTGGCATTTTAGTAGTTAGAGGCAGGTAAGATTTTAAGACAGTGTATGAATAGATGTTGGGCTGTGAGTTAGAAGGGACTCTCATGGAACAGCATGTAGGGTCTATCAGGAAATGTAAAAAGAATCAGGATAGTTTATGTCCAAGGATTTAAATCAAGATTAGCACATCTGTTCTCAAAAATACACTTGTAATTAATGCAGTTGGGATAGCATTGTAACATCATCATACTGTTTATAATTGATACTGCCTTAATATACATTTTGGTTTTTGTGACCTAAAAAGGGGTTTCTTTTGTTTTCTACTTTAGAGTGAAAACACAGCAGCTCTATCAACTTATCCTCCCAATGGAGCTATAGATTTAAAATATTTTCCATATTATGGGAAAAAACTGCATGTAAGTACTTAGAAGTTCATAAGTGGTTGTGACTCTTGGGAAATTGGTACATCTGTACTAAAATATCACTTGTCGGCAGACACATGTTCTGTGTAATTTGTGTATCTTCTATTCTGGTCTTCAAATGGTGATGCCAAGTAGAGGTTCCCCACCGCCAATCTACAGTTCAAAACGTAAGACTTACGATAAATTTTCAAAATATCATTTTCTCTTTCGTTAAGAATTTGCTTAGAGAGTATACAGAGGTGAAAAAACAAAACGGATAGAATAGTACAAAGAATTTCTGTAGACCGTTTACCTAGATTTCCCACATGTTAGTATTTTACCTCATTTGTCTTTCCAGTCTCTGTAATTTTTTTCCTAAACCATTTGGGACTAATGAAACATGTGCCTCTTGCCCTAAATGCTGAAGTTTTATTTTCCTAAAGACAAGAGGACTGTCATCCAATCTACAGACCTAGTCAATATTTTACTAGTTGTTCCAGTAGTGCCCTTTATTGCAAAAGAAAAAATGTTTTCCCAGTGCCGGATATCTCACCGTTACATTTTTGGTCACCTGTAACCTGGAACAGTTCCTCAGTCTGTTTCATGCCCTTGTACTCTTAAATGAACACAGGCCTTTTGGGGCCTGTTTTGTTTACATTCCTCAACTTGAGTTTGTCTGATGTTTTTCATGATTAAATGTCAGTTTACATCAAAATGTAAAATGTACATTTTTTTGCAAGAATGCCTCAGAAGAAATGTTTTCGGAATTAGCATATCAGGAGGGATGTGGTATTGATTGGTCACATTAGTGGTGATAGTAGATTAAGGTGTTATCAGCCCGGTGTTTTTTTGCTTTTTTTTTTGTAATCAGTAAATATTATGTGGAGAGAGTAATTGGAGAGTCTACACAGTTCTGTTTCTCCCTTCACTTGAAGCATGTATTGATTCTTGCCTGGGTTCCCAGATGTTTTCTAATTCCATCTTTTCCTTTCTCCATTTACAGGGTGGCATTCTGTTCTGAGAAAGAGCTTTACCTTCTTGCCACCATTTATTTCCATCTGTATATTGTCATGGACTCATTATCTGTTCTGTTTATTTTGATGCTAAAATTGTCCCAGATTTGGCCAGTGAGAGACCTTCAGGCTGGTTCCTATGTCCTTTAGACATGCTTCCATGATTGTTTCTAGCACTGTAAGACATTCCAGATTCATCTTGTAGTTTCTCTGCCCCAGTCCTGAAATCAGCCCCCCTAGTTCCTTTCAGTGAAGAAATGTATCTAGAAACCACAGTGATGGTAATATAGTTAGGAATATATTTGCATCAGATTATACAGCAACCGTAGTAAGGATATAGGAGATCTGGGTAATCAGTAGAGTAGTCCTTGGGTGAAAGAAGAAACTCAAACCAAGATTATAGAGAATGTCTAAAAAATGATCATGATTGACACAACCAAATTACAACCTATGGGATACATCTAAAGCCTGATAAAAGGCACAGAACGTACATGAAGTTACTGTAGCATTTGAATTAATGTGTTTTCCTTTATTTGCCAGGTGAGTTATCTTCAGCCATTAGTTGCTGTCCAGGTGTCCTTTAATGCTAGCAGCAGTGCCGTAAAAGAAGTAACAGTCGAATGCAAGATTGATGGATCACCCAACCTAAAAAACCAGGATGATCGTGACAAGTTTTTGGGACGAGTTGTGTTCAAAATCACAGCACGTGCATAGTAGGAGTTAGGATCTCCACAGAGTAAATGTCGTGTTGTCTGTCTTCGTTTTGTATCAGCTGGACCTGCCATTCTAGAATTTTGAGACCACCTTGGAGAAAGGTGGGGTGGTGCATGACACTGGGGTAACATCCTAACATGCTTCCAGATCATAGTGTTCGGTGTCCTCTGAAGTAACTGCCTGTTGCCTCTGCTGCCTCTTGAACCAGTGTACAGTCGCCAGATAGGGACCATGAACACCGATTCTGAACATGTAGTACAGGGGGCTTATTTTTATGTGGTTTAATTGCCAAGTGTCTAAAGCTTAATGTGCTGTGCTATGTAAATATTTTATAGATTTAACACTGGTTAACTTCCTATTTTGATGCCAGCAAAGTTGTAGGGATAAAATGGTACCTGAACAACATCAAGTGACTTTCATAGCTGCAAGAAATGTGGTGTGAGGAAAACTTCTGTGAGGAGGAAAAAAGAAAATAAAAGTGGATTTGAAAGGTTGACTTGGATGTTTTGTAAAATTATTTTTTACATGCTGAATTAGTCTGTGGATCTTTTTGATTAAGAGCACAAACTTTCTGTTGTAAAACATGTAAAAAATATATATATACTGATGGGTTTATTTTTAGTGCTGGAACTAAAATCTCTTATCAAGTATTGTAGACCATAGATGAAACAGCATTTTTAAGTTAGCCACTATGAATATGCACCTAATTTTTTATGGAGTTAAATTCATATGATTTAAATTGTACAATAGTTTGTGAAATATATTGTGACTGCTTTTATTTAGCAGACTGTGGACTCTAATAAAAAATATAAATTGTGAAATTTAAGAACTTGGAACTTATTCAAAGCTTCAAACCAGCTTTATTTCAGCATGCTTTAGTGTCGTGAAATGTCTTCTCCTTCAGTCAATGTTTGTAATGGTATGATTGTCATAATGTGAGCTATTTTCTCCTCTGTTGAAAGGTATGCTTCCTGTATCATCTCTGGGTTTTGTTTTTTTTTTAAGCCAGTTTTGATTTTTATCCTTAATGCTAAAGCTGATAATCTTGAGGTTTTCTTTGTGTTGGTACAAGCCAGGATGACACTGGTTTGTGACACAACCCAGCTGGTTCAGGAACAGCTATCTGGAGAGAACATCAATGCTCCAAGTGGTCTTGGCTAGCCAAATGACCTTGTTGACCCAGTGGCAGCCTCTCTGCCACTAAGATCTTCGTGATAACAGATTTTTGTTTTAGAAGTCTTCTTTGCAACTAAAGAAAATGATTCTTGGAGCTGTTAATGACGGAAACAACTTCTGGGCTTTGATTTTCCATTCTGCCCTCTTTTAAGAGTGGAAAACAATTTCAAAAATGCTACAGTGCTAAAGCAATGCCATGGGCTACAGCTAGAGCATCACTTTAGCTGGTCCCGTGTGAACAGGTCTTCAGTTGTTGGTTGTGGAATTCATATTATTATGTATTCAGTTAAATTTGTATTTTTGTGTCTTTGGAGTATAACACAGATTGAAGTTGTGTTCTAATGAGCTTAGATAAAAACAAACTAGTTCTCAGAACATGAAACAAGAATGGAGATAACCAAAATGGGGAAGTGGGTTTTGTAGAGAATACAAATAGGATATTCACAGAAGTGACTAAATCATATTTGTGCCTCCCTGGTTCAGGAGTTTGGGCATGGCTCAGCCCCTGATTGCTGCATGAGTTCAGCTGACCTCCCCAACTCTTCCTAGCTCTCTTCTACTGAAATTAGGGGTTTTTAACAATGATCACAGGCCTGCTCTGTGCCAGGTTAGTGATGTGCCAAACTGAGGATATAGAGATGAAGACATGGTCTGGAAAATGAGAGGGAACTAGAACAGGCCCTGGGACAAGATGTGGTGTAATTACAGTAATGGCAATTTATGTGCAAGGGTCCAAGGAGGTGGGTTATGACTCCTCTACAAAGGTCCCTCTAGAGATGTGTTTTGTGGAGGGGAGGGTTGGAAGGAGCTGGGCCTATATGATGAAGATGAAGAGTTTGGGAATGAAAGGGACTCTGGACACCATCTGAGTCTGCATTTCTGCTTCATTTCACGTTTTCCTCAGAACTTCACCAGACCTCTTACATGCAGATTGATTCCATAAGAGACTCTATATGCAACAATTTCTTAAGTCACGGCTATTCTGCTTATTCATAGATCACAGTTTGAATAACAAGGGACCAAAGGAATAAAGACAACCAGATTTGCATCCTTGGTGATTGGATCCAGCACTGGTTTGACTAGTGGATGGAGAAAAATTCAACTGTCAGCTGACTTTAGCTAATACTTAAAAATCCAGCAGGTTAGGGGCTCAGGGTCCAAGATGGCAAGGTAAAAGACCCTGAACTCCCTTCCATGGACACAACCAAATTTATACCTATTTATAGAGCAATTTCTCCTGAAGACAGCTAACTGAATAGCTGTAGAACAAGACAGACCACATAGAGAATGGTAAGAGAGACAAGACTGTAACAAAGGGAAACCCCAACCCTGATGCTTGCCATGGGGTGGAATAGTACTACAAGACTGAACACGTATGTCTGAGGGCACAGAAAAAAAAAAAAAAAGAAAGAAAGCTGTGATTTAAAAGGGCTTTGAGAGTATAAAAATTAATAGCACTAGAACTCTACCAAATGGATGGGACCTGTTGGAACTCTCAGGGTTGGAGGGACTGGTGATTGCTACCATCTACATTCACCCTTCACCTTGATATCAGATGGGAGCAGGGTCCAGATGGGAGCAGGGTCCAGGCACTGTCATCAGCCTACTGTCAGCCCGACTACTTGGCACCCCTTAGCCCAAGGCAGCCCGGTGTGGTGCACACCAGAACACTCCTGATCAATGCTCACAACAGCACCTGTCTCAACAAGGTGACCAGTCTGAAGCATCCTGGAACACTCTAGACCCACACCACTTAGGCTCCAGACAGCTTGCTAGGACACTCCAGTGGAGAGTCCCAGGACCTCCATGCTCCTGCTCATTTTGGCCCCTGCCACCCCATAAATGTGCCCCTAGCCCATGGCACACAATGACTCCAAGCTCCCCACCAGGACACCCTGGTGTGCACTCACTTTAGCTCTAGCTGTCCTGCCAGGGTGCCTTCTAGAGAGTCCCAGGACTGCCATGGCCTGTGCCAACATCAGCTGTCAGGACACTGGATGGAAACTCACAGGACCACCCCACCCTGTGCCCACTTCAGCTTCAACATCCCAAGGGCAACCCCATCATGGAATACCCCCAAGAACCCAGCCCATGCCACCACAATTCTAGGCAAACAACCAAAGTTGCCAGAAATTCAGCCTGCACAAGGGGACAAGTATACATGAGACCAGTCCTTCAGTCCTTCAAATTTAGGAGAAGTAGCTATTCTAATTCAGAGAAAAACAAAGTCAACCAAAATGATAGGAATATGCTCCATATTAAAGAGCAAGACAAAACCAGAGGGAGAAAATGAAATCAAAAGGAGATAACCAGTCTACCTGATACAGTGTTCAAAGTAATGGCCATAAAGATGCTCACTGGACTGGAGAGAAGAATGGACATGACATATTCACAATTTCAAAAAGAGTATTGAAAAGAGCCAATCACGGTTGAAGAAGAAAATGAGAAATGCACTAGAAGGAATCAACAGATTAGAGGATACAGAAGAAAGCACTAGTGATCTGGAGAACAATCAAAAGTAAACACCCCTCAAAATAAGAAAAAGGGGGAGGAGTTAAGATGATAGAGTAGTAGAGGGACCCTATACTTGCCTCATTCCTCAAACACAGCTAGAGAAGTACCAAATTCTTAACATCCAAGAATCAATCTGAGGACTAAGAGACAAACTGCATAACCAGAGAGAAAAAATAGGCCACATCGTGTAAGATAGGAGATGTGGAGACAGGACTTGGGAGAGAAAAGAATTTCAGGTACTGTGGGCAGGAAGGAGCCCTGACCATGGAGAGCAGAGAGCAAGCGAGCACAGCATGCAGGGCACTGCATGCAAAAGACAATTCCCCAAAACCATTGACAGGGAAAATTAGAGGGGCTGATTATCAAATTTTTACAAGCAGCTGAACTAAAAGTCTGAAGTTATAGAAGTCTGCACCATTGCTGGGGTATAGCCTGGTTGGCATAGCACTGCTCCTGTAGCGAAGGAGGGCAGAGGCCCAAGAGCAGACAGTGTGGTCTGAGGATCCCCTGGGTCACACTTGGAGAGACCATTCCCCTTGGAGTGCTTTTGGAAGAGATGGCACTGGTTCTTGGGACAAAAGAGGTGGTGGATGCCACTGAGCTGCCCTGTTCATTCGTGTATGAGTAGAGGCACCTACTGAGGGCAGTGAACCTGGGCACCTGCTTTTTGCTGCACTTTACCATAAACTCTAAGCCCCTGTGCATTCCTGCAACTACCTTTCTAAGACAAACCAGCACCAGCAGCAGCATAGCAAGACCCTTTCCCAGAGGATCAGTGCTGGTGTGCACCATGCCAGGTCCTAAATTTGACTTTTGAAACCCAGCCAGTGTGCCTGAGATGAAACACAGGAGCACTGTGCTGCTGGGTGGGCAGATGGCTCAGATGCAGACAGGGTGAAGGCAGCGATCTGAGGGATGCCTGGGACACATGAGGGAAGATTGTTCACTCTTCCGTGAGCACTTCCTGAATAGTAGAGAGCACAAACTCCCCTCTAGGGTGCCAGAGAGCCAGCTGACACCATTTTTATCCCTGCCCATCAACATGGACTGACTTTAGTGAGCAGCACAGCATCTACAGTGGAAGCTTGAGTCACTTACACAAACGTTCCCCTGAACTCTACTGGTTCTTCTGGACTAGGGCAAGTGTACCTGAGAATCAGAGCAGCAGCAGGCCTCTCCCCCAAGAAGACCAGCACAAACTGCCCCCCAAACCCTCACATGCACCAAGTCCACTGACCACAGAGTGCTCAGCTCTAGGGGAAATAGGATCTAGTTTCTTGTAACAAACAGACCAAAATACACCTAGCTAAAACTTCCTACACGGTGGACAACGTCCCAACAGTCCCCACTGCAGGCAAGAAGCTCTGCACAAGACTGATCTGAGAGAAAGAGTAGCAAAAACCTAACAGCCAAGTGCGCACAGCATACACCAGAAACACTTCTGATGCGTCAGCCCCTGGACAGAATATGACTTTTTTTTTTTAATGTATTTTAGTGTTTATTTTTGAGAGAGAGAAAGAGAAAGGGAAAGCAGGGCATAGAGAGAGGGAGATAGAGATCCAAAGCAGGCTCCAGGTTCTGGGCTGTCAGCACAGAGCCGAACACGGGGCTCAAACTCACAAACCATGAGATCATGACCTGAGGCGAAGTCAGATGCTTAACTGACCGAGCCACCGAGGCGCCCTTTTTCTTAATGTAGTCATTACTCTCAGGAGCAGGAAACATAACTGGCATTCCTAACACACAAGAGACAGAGACCTAGACAAAATGCCAAGATGGAGGAATTCATTCCAAAAGAAAGAACAAGAGGTCTTGGCCAGGGCTCTAATCAAAACAGATATAATATGCCTGAACCAAAATTTAAAATGACAATCATACGGATACTAGCTGGGTTTGAGAAAAGCATAGAAGACACCAGGGAGTCCCTTACCACAGAGATAAAAGACCTAAAAACTAGTCATGCCAAAATAAGAAAATGTTGTAACTGAGATGCAAAACCAACTGGATATAATAACCACAAGGATGGAAGAAGCAGATGAACAGACAAGTGATAG